GTTTTCTAGTTTAGGCTGATCTATGGTAACGCAATTGGCAATGGACGTTGGATTTATGATTATTTTCAGGTAGTAGAAATGAGCATTAGTAGTTCTCTACTGATTGCAAGGAACCTACCCAATCTTGCGTAATGTAATTCTTTCCTTGCCAGTTGCTCGTGGTTGTAGCCCGATTAGAGTGAAGAAGACGTATAGTGTGTTTGTTTGTGTCTGAATTGTAGTCTTTAGTGCATTGTTGTGGTTTTGGGTTTCTTATTTTATTTCACTTGATTTTATTTTATTTTTTTCAAATTTATTACATCAAATATTATTCTTTGGTATTTGGATTTCCTGAATTTAATTTACCGATGATTGGCAAGTTAGTTTCAATGTATTAATTTATTGTAGTGGAGTGTTCATAGTAACAAAGGATAATCGCATCAATCTCGGTTCCTAGTAATTTAGAGTAGGAGGACCTATGGCAATGTCAATTTCATCATGCTTTTTTTTGCAAATTTCTGGTTTCTTTGTTCCTTTCTAAGATGACAAAGTGCAAGTGCCTTATTTATTAACTTCTTAAATTACTACTAAATAATTATGAGTGAAATTATATGGAACGCTTATATTATGCTTCTTTGGGAGCAAATCGCCTATATTCCCTTGGATAAATGACCCACTCTCGAGTATTTTATTGACTTAAAAGTGGAATGTACTTTTGAATGACAGACTAGATGAGTAGTTCGAAAAAAAAAGAAAGTTCTAGTTCTTGTAAACCTAGTTTTAACCATCCAAATATTGGGTGGTCTGTTTCCGCGTGATCTTTTTCAAGCATTTGTAGGGTGCCGGTTCAATGTTTTTTTTGTTTGGAATTAATTCTAAGTCGATATGGCAATATCCCTAAAACTTTGGTTCCTTAAAATCTTGGCGAGGGTTTTTTACATGGGACCAAATATACATTTTGCCCCAACGGGAGCATAAAATCTTTCTAAAGGCATTCTTAATTGGATTGTATGCAATGAGATCCCTTAGGTAGACTGGGTCATTATTATTGACGACTATCTCTTATAAAATTTGATAGCTTGAGTGTATCGTAAAGTTCAATTTTTTTTATAATTTTAAGTTTTGTCAATAAAATAAAATAAAAAATCCCTTTGTTTTTTATTTTTAATTTATATATATAATGAGCTTTAAAAATTAAAAATATTACTCGTAAACAAAATGTTTCATTTTTTTTTTTCCATCTTATAACTTTTTGGACCTTTTGATTATAAATTTTAACATGAAAAAACGCTAAAATGATACTCTACTCAAATTTTTTTTCTTTCAAAACTTTATGTTTCTCTAAAACCATAATTGTAAAAAAATTCCACACTATACCTCGTCTCTTTCTCTCTCTAATAATTATGTAGCATATTTTCCCTAAATCTTAATCCCACGCCACCTTTTACTCTCTCTCTCAAAAACTCAGCCGGTTGGCCATAGAGTCTGTGTCCATGTAGAGCTTGGGCTTGGTTAAATCCCATCAATGGTAATGTATTAGTTGCAGGATTCATGGCTGGTGCATTGAGGTTTTCATCGACCAGGCCAGTTCTTTGGAGGAAGTCCTCTAGCGTCACAACCACTCCTGATTTTGAACCAGGGGCTCCATCGGAAGAAGGGTAAGCACCCTCAAAGAACTCGTCAATATTCATGGTGGTCAAGGGTTTTGAGAGGTCACCACCATGGCTCTACAACTCCTCTAGGGAAAGATTGAAGATGGTGCTCTGCCTCGCCAGAGGCTGAAACTTGTGCAATGTCGCCTCATACCCCATTCAAAAAAACTTCAAACCCTAAAATATAGCATTAAAACCAGGTAGAAAAATCAGCATAACCCTAAAATTCTCAAACCATAAAGAAGAACAAATTAAACAAAATAGATAATAAAGATCAATCAAAACCATTAGAAAAAGAAAATAAAAAAACATGAGAAGATTGAATCACCCAAGTGCATTTTCGGTCGATATTTACTGCCATCAGTGAATTTTCCTGTGACCCACTTGTTTTTCTGGCTGTTAATGGTGGTTTCTTGACTTTGCCTCTCGATTATTTCCTTGTAATGCAAATTACCAACCTCCAACATGAGCGAAGAAGGAGAAATAAATCCTAATCAGAGGGCACCACCATTTCTTCAAATGATACTAGAAAATGGCAAAAACTTGCAGAGAAATGGAGTTGAAAAGGAAGACAGAGAGTTTTAGGGTTCTGGAGGAGGGGAGGCTTGGGCCCAAAACCAGAGAGACAGAACTTCGACTGGGTCCTCCTGATGATTACCAGGCCCTCAATTGTCCATCTCCAGTTTCCAAAAATGGCAGTTTTTGTGGAGCAAAAAGTGGTTTCAAGACACTGTAGCATCAAAACTTGTAACTAGTGAGAGAAACCAGAAGCTTTCAGGCCAAGAAACAGGGCTACTTTAGCAAGAACCAGCTTTCTCTCTCTACCAAAAATCACTTCACCAAAAAAATCCAACTTCTCTTCTATCAAAATAGGCCTCTCCATCGATTTTAGTGAGAGAAACAACAAGCCCAAAAATGGAAACACAAAAGAGAGATGACATAGAAGCTATTCTATGCTCATCCTTTGTTCCATCCAATTCAACAAACCAAGTATAGGGAGCTCTGAACGGAGATAATTTTAGAGAGAGAGGAAAAAGTAGCGTGGGATTAAATTTTAGAGTGTTATTTTAATATTTTTTTAAGTAAAAAATTTATAATCAAATAGATTCAAGGGATTATATGATAGGAAAGATTGAAACTTTTTGCTACCAAATAATATTTTCAAGTTAATAGAGAATAAAAGGATATTTTTTTAATTCTTGGGTCTCATTACATATAAAAGTTAAAAATAGGGGATAAAAAGATATTTTTCCTAAAATAAAAGTAGACACCTAATTTTAGGTCCAACGGTCAAAATTAACTGTGACCACGTTGTACCAAAAGTAAATATTCTCTTTGTATACTTTCCCATAATTATTTCTTATTATTTTTTAGACTTATGGACGTTCATTTATTCGATAGTAGAAAGAAAGTATATAGTGAGACCATTTACCTTTGAGACCATTTACCTTTGATACAAGGTGGGTGTGAAATTAGGTGGGTACATTTATTTCATTGACCAAGCTCAAAGTTCAATAAAAATTCTTTTGAACTTTAAGCAGTGATTGAAAAGTCAGCGAGTGGATTCGGACTCATCCGATTCGACTCGGGAACAGGCAGACAGGTGCCGATTTCAGTGAAATATTGGAAATTGCCCGGTTCTAAAGAAGAACCGACGATTCCATGCCATAAATCGCCATGTGACTTCATGGACTTTAAGGTCGGCACACCTCGTCACGTGACTCTCCTCACTTCGCACACGTTATCCTACAAATATATAACATTAACATATTATATATTTTGTTTGCGCTTTTAATACTACTAAGTAGCATATGTCTTGTTAGTTATAAATTTCTTTCTGCAAGTGGAGGGCTTGGGAAGAGAAAGGGGGTTTCTCTTATCAACTATTTTTCTTGTAAATTTTACTTTTCTTGTCAATTTTATTTTTTTGAGGTCAAATTTTTTTCCTATAAATATTTTTCTTGTCAATTTTATTTTTTTGAGGTCCAATTTTTTTCTTATAAATATTTTTCTTGTCAATTTTATTTTTTTGAGGTCAAAATTTTTTCTTATAAAAAAATGAAACGTTTTTTTTATCAATTTCATTTTTTTTCAATTTTTTTTATCATCAAAAAAATGAGAGGTTTTTTTTATCAATTTCTCATATTGTCAAATTTTTTTCTTATCAATAAAATAAAAATTTTCTTATAAAAAAAAATGAAAGGTTCTTATCAATTATTTTTCTTGTCAAATTTCTTTTTTTTTGTCAAAAAAAAAAAATTTTTTTTTCTCAAAAAAAAAAAGTAAAAAAAAAGTAGATTAGTCAAAAAAAAAAAAGTTACTTAATAAAAAA